TGCTGGTTTCCAAAATGTGATTTAAGATGCCTGCTGTCACTTGTTGGATAGCAATGGTTTATTTGTAGGATAGCTTCTCTTCAATTGTTTTAGTCCATCCCATAAATTCAAATGAAAGGCTGTGGGCCCTGTGGATAAAAGATTATCACTGGGTAGGTCCCAGGTAGGCTGTTCTTTTTATTTGCAGTACCAACCTCTGGAACACCTCGTCCTTGCCAGCTTTTCAGAAAACCTTAAAGACTTGGTTGTGTTCCTTTGCGTGGGGGTGAGATTGCTTTGAGGTTTTGAGATATCATGGTTTTTATTGTTGCTCTGGATATTGCCTACAGGGGACCCTTAGATGTATCTGCGTGGATTTGGGACTAAACATGTTGTTGCTTATTTTATGACTTTAATGTGTTGTTAGACACCCAGAGATGCTGTGGGAGATGAGGGGGAGGAATCATACAAAAAGGAAAGGAAAGGAAGGGCCTCTTTATTGAAATGCACACATTTATCTCTTGCTATTTGCATGAACCAAAGCTCTTATTTATCTATTTCTTAGAAATGTGAGAGCATTCAGACAAATATCTAGTATATGTGTGAGAAGATGGTGACTCACAGCTTTGGATTTGTTTTACCCTGTCCAGCTGAACAAACAACTATACAGATTTCTGCTCCAGCATTTAAATCATATTGCTTCCCCACTCCTGAATTGATGATCCGGTGGGAGACTGCTATTGCTGAGATGTTTGTATAAAAGAGGAGTCTTTGTGCATTTGTGTGTCTGTGGGTAACAACCTTATCTGAGCTCAAGAAAAGGAGTAATTGGGTAAGACTGTTCAAAAACCATTCCTTTTAGACTTTAGTTGACTTGGTGGTTCTTGCTAACTTGGAAGTCAGTGGTTTCTGCTTCACCAGCTACATTCCTGGCACCTTCTCTTTCTTTGCTTCCTCCTTTTCCTCTCCTTCTGATCTGGAGGTGCCAAGAGTGCTTCTCCCCTTCTTTCCTTTTAAAAGGGTCCAGTTGCAGGATGTTCTCTGCCCCCTCCCCCCCCCTTTTTTATTGTCTGGACCTGCAGAAATCTCCACCCTTTCAATTCTCTTTATGCTTCTTTTTTCCCAACATGAAACAGAGAGGAATTTTAGTTTCTTCTCTTCGTTTATCAGGAACTTCTGCCATTCTGGATCTCTCACTTCTACCTTTAGTTAGGAAATTTGTCTCGAACGAAGTTTCTCTCCCCTTGTTCTCTTCAAACAAATATCGCTTCCTCTCAGAATGTGAATTCCTGGCAGGAACTGAACGTTGATTGATCAGTTTGTAGATGGAAATCAAAGGAGATGTGGCCTGTGCAATTGTTTGCTAAGAATCAAGACTGTCTGAATAGCTCTTCTAATGAAGCCACTATTTCTACATGACCCTCCTCTCCTGATAATCTAAAATGCATTCTAACTCAGATTCTTCCATCCCCACTTCAGATGGGGGCTAATGGCACACAATTGTGCTTTCCAAGACCAAAAGGGGAACATAGAAAACTATTTTTAAAAGACAGCTGGAAACCGCAGGTCCATAGGCCAGAGGGCTGGTTTGTACAATTACGAGAATTGTCCCATGCTCTTGAAATCTCTATCTCCCTAGATAGAAATGCATAAGGGAATAATCTGAAGAAGGACAGATATGATATACAACAGTAAATGGGAGTTCTTCCCAAGATGAAGTTCAATAGAATCCTTATAGTAGGAGGCCGTGGTGTTGATATAAAGGCAAAGCTAAGCAGAAATTAGGCCACTGGAACAGCGGAGGGTCCGTAGGTATTTGGGAGCAGAGATGTGTGGTAGTAAATTATATCCTGAGACAAAGGCACCTGAGTGGAAGCATGACTTGAGTTAATATAAACAAACCAAGTCATAGCTAAAAAATAAAAAATCAGGCCAGTTCTCATGGTAATGTCACCGTTCCAACTAACCAACTCCAAACCAATTAACTCCAAGACATACAGTTCCTCAAAGTTCCATTTTATTAGAGTTGTCGTATTGGCACATCTGGGAAAATCCAAATCTGAGAGTTCTGGGTTTTCCCTTCCCAAAAGAAATTCAAAGATCCATCCCCTGCACTCACAGGTCCATTACATGGCCCAATCAAAACATTGTCCCAACTGGAGACATACCTCCAGACACTCCTCTCCAGGTGCAGGGTAACATGTCCTTGACTTTCTGAGAAAGAATGTTATTGAGTCTAATCTACCTCTCTATAAAAAACCCCCTCCCAAATTCCCAGGCACTAAAAATGTGGAAGCCTTGAAGCTTCCAAGTAAGATATGGCTTCCAAGGCTGACAGATGAGAATTTACATAACAACAAAGGGTACTTGTTTGCTTGCTTGCTTATTATATAACCAACTTCTTAACCATCCATCTCTTTCATAGAGGAGCTCTGGGTGGTATACAGTTTAATCAGTATAATAAAGTATTAGAAACCAAATAGTTTGAGGTTTTGGCTCCAAAATGGCATTGTTCCATCTGACGTTTTCTTTCTTTTAAGAATCTTCTTTCCAAGCAGTGGTGTCTTGCTTTTTTTTTGCCAGATCTTACAAGGTGCAGCCACTTTCTCTCTTATTATTATTTTGAATTCTTTGATGATCAGATGTTGCCCTTCTTGTTGCCCTTTCCAGGCAGAAGCCCTTTCTGGAGACAAAAGTTTATTAAGAACTGTATAAATTAGGTTCGCACAGGTGCACAAGAAGCAATAAGGACTGTTTTGTGCTGAAGGAACAACAGGAAGCAAAGAGAAAGCAAAAGAAAACTAGTAGTATTCTTATTAAGAGAACACTGTATACCAGCTGAAGATTTACAAGATAATGACAAACTTTGGAGTTTGAAAACCAAGTGTGTGTATTTGCATGTGCGTGTGGAGAGAAAGAAAGGAGAGAGAGGAGAGAGAGAGCGGGGGAGAGACGGGGGAGAGGGAGGGAGGGAGAGAGAGAGAGAGCACAAACTAGATCGACAGGAGTTACCATGTCTGTGAGAATAATCTCCAGATGATACCATAGTTCATTTTTCCAGTTTCTGGAAACATGATATATACTATAGTGGGCTACAATTTGCTTCCAGGTCTAATTAAAGGTGGTGGTTGTCATTTTTAAAACCCTACATGGCCTGGGGCCAGGTCATTTGAAGGACCGTTTTTTCCAGTCATATTTACTTGGCTCACCAGTCATATCTACTCGGCAAGGAATGTTATGGTCCCCTCTTAAGGAAATCCATCTAGTGAGACCAAGAAGAAGGATCTTGTCCATGGTGGTTCCCTTCCTGTTGTGACACCATACCTGTAGAGATAAGATTGACCCCAACTTTGACACTCTTTTGAAAGGACCTGAAGTTCTGACAACAGTTTTGGGGACCCAGAACGATATGAAGCCCATCAAATGGTTGGCCTGATTGTTGTTACCAAGGTGTGATGGAGGCAGGGGTGGGACTCTACCGGTTCGGGCAAACCGGTAGTTCCGGTGATCATTTGGCCCCGCCCACCTGCCCCTTCCCTATGCTTTATTTCCTTGTTCTTGAGCACAGCTGATTCACGCGGCAGAGCGGTTTGCTGTGCATCAGCTGTTTTACTCACCGGAACTGCAGCAGAAAGTAAGTATTATAGCTAAAAATGGCATTTCCCAAATGCTGTGCATGCGTGCAAAGCGCACGCTCACCGAACTGGTTGTTACACCGGTTGAATCGTACCACTGGGTAGAGATTTATTGGCTTCTGTGTGGAGGTTTTATTTTTGTAAGCTGCAGGGAGTTCTTGTAAATAAGTTGGGCAGCCTTATAAATTTTCTCATAAATAAACCAATACCCATGTTGGAAACATGTAGCACTTCTCTTCTGATTTCCAAAGAAACTGCCCATAACACCTTGAAAATTTGTGGCTGAGAGGACGGTTTGGTTCTGTAGTTATCACATCCTCAAATCTGTTCAATAGGCTGAGCATAATTGATGGCTTTGCTCCGTATCACCCTGCAGCCCCTTTGATAGAACATTGGTTCCTCTGTCCAGGTGGCAGTGGCCAGGTGAATTCTCCTTACTTTTATTGGTGCAATAGTTGCTGATTTATTTACCTGCATCAGCCTGATTTGTGGAAGGTATGATCTCACCAGTAAACAAGGAAGCAGAGGACAAAAGTTGGGGGAAGCCCTTTTATATCCTTTTCTTCTCTAATATTTCTATTCAGCACTTCCAAGGTTAACACAAACAACGAAGGTGACTGTGGGCACCCTTGTCTTTTTCCTTTTCTTATATCAATAGAGTCCATCAAATCTCCCTTGATCATTAGCTTTGCCATTTGCTTATGATATATAGCTTCTATTGCTTGGATAAATTTTTTACCAAAACCCATCTGTTCCAGCTGTAATAACATAAATCATCAATTCACATTATCAAATGCCTTCTGTGCATCTAAAAATATCAAAGCCATTTGTTTTTCAGGATGTGCCACATAGTATTCCAAAGTGTCCAAGATTACTCTCATATAGTCTTTTAACTTGTCTCTTTGGCAGAAATCCATTTTGATCAGGATGGATAAAGTTATTTAGGTATTTTTTGAGTCTTTCTGCCAGTATTGAAGCAAAAATTTTATAATATGTCTATGGAGATTCTCAGTCATCCAGATCATGGTTGTCTCAAAAGTGCTTTTTCAAGAGGCAACTGGACTTCCTTGTTTTTCTTTCCTTTCCTTTCCTTTCCTTTCCTTTCCTTTCCTTTCCTTTCCT